GCAGGTTTGATTGGTTTTATGAAGGAGGAAGGGGGAATTAGAATTTAGATAGTGGAAGGAGGAAGTGATTAGCGAGAGCGAGTGGAGGAAAGGGGAAGGCCAAGGGGAAGAAGGGGGAATTGGAAATGGAAAGAGAGGTGCCATGTAAATCTGGGAATTTGCCGCGTGTCTCGATACTTCACTTCATGATTGGATTTGGGGTTGGGCCTCCCGGATATCTGCGCTTGCGAATTTGGGTAATTTACGAACCCTAGCTTTTCCACAATTTCTCCAAAACAGACACCACTGCTCTTATAATTACACTGCATAATCCTCATACTTCACCTTTAGTTAAGTTATAATCATGTTGATAATTATAGTTAATTTTTATTTCTTAGGGCATTCGAAATTCATTCGGAACCCTCTATACTAAATTAAAACTAGTCTAAGTTATAGAAATTAAATTTGTAACTTAACCGACATAAAATATAATCCAAATATATCTTTATTATTATTATTAATAAATACCTTAGCTCATCGATCCARCTCACTATGTTAGATATTTGACTTGAGAAAAGAGATAGTAAACTCAAGAACAGCTTAATAAGTAAGCTCGAGACATTTCTTAATCATCAATTGACTATTAGCTATCTAATTGAATTAAGACAATCTAAATATTGTCACTGTCAAGTCATCCATCATTCATAATAGTAAAAAGCACATGTAAAATATACTTGTCAGTGTAATGCAACTATTGTRTTGGCTATGATAATTTCACCACTTTTTTCGATAATAGAAAGAGAAATCACCCATGTGCTATTACCCTATAAACTCTAACTCATGAATATGTTCTAAGGTAAGTATAACAGGATGTTATGATAGACATTATGGATGTGAACATCTCTTATTTTACAAGTATATGCTTGAACCAAATTTATATCATTTGATATCGTCATTATAGATGATCGTTGATGTGTGCACCAAGTCAAGAAATATCTACAACAATTGTAAACATGAAATAGAATAACCCATATTGGTATTGTTGCTTGGGTTTTGTCTGTGACCAATGGCCAGTGTGAGTTGAGTGTGGTCCAAGTCCATGACCAATCCATATCAAGAAATTCACCAGTATGTAACGAAACTTGAATTGTTGACTGACGAATGAATCAACCTGCAAAAGAGGAGTAACTGCTCCAATATTCAAGTCAGTATTTATTTGATCTATTACTCGAAAGAAAATAGTTTCGAGTACCTGGTAAATGAAGTGGAGATCTCTATTCATAGAGGTAAGCTTTTGATAGGACTTCTGACAACATTACAATGACTCTCCAAAAGTCTTGAGAATCACAATATGTCGTCTGAGATTCTATTAGACGTTTGCACGTACAGATGCTGAGTCGGCTCGACATCAGTTGTATTTAGAATCTTTTGAGTGATGCACATATGATTCTTCCAATCCTTTAAATAGCCACGTTTATTTTATAGGAAAATTTATAAAGATGTTCGGGAATATTTAGATAGTCATGTTTGTTTAGCACTAATTATTCTTGAGAATGTTCTAAATTTATATAATGTTTAAAAAATGTCCTTACAAATATTCATATAATTTATATATTAATTTAATAGAGTTTGCATTTATATAATATATTTGTTTTTATTAATTTAATATTTTATTTGTTTTATATTAATTTTGTATGTATTAATTTTTGTATGTTATTTTGTAGATTTCATATATTAATGTAAGATTTTATAAAAGAAAAAAAATTAATATTAAATATAAACTATTTTTCAAAAAATACAAACATATAATGTTATGGAGGTGAAATTTATTTATTATAATATTAAATTATATTCTTTTAAGAAGAAAAATATTAAAATTATATATTTAAGATAACAAATATTATTGATAATAATTTCTTTTAAATATTAAAAATAAATGGAGGTATTGTATAATTATTTTTTATAACAAATATTATTAATAATATTCCTTCTAAATATTAAAAATAAGYGAAGATATTATATAATTATCCTTCATTGCATAAAGTTGTTTCTCTCGATGAGCATTAATTTATTTAAATATAAAATTAAAAATAAAAGTAAAGAAAGTTGATGAAAGAAAATATATTAAAAACGAATGAAAGGTAAAAATATAAAGAGATAATCAGGATATCCTGTATATTATTGCAAAACGAACGAGAATCAAATACCCGGCCATTAAAGTAATTGTTTACTGCACCTCCGAAGAGAGGAGTTGGGATTGGGTGTCGAAATGTCGGCCCAACGGGAGTTTTCACCGTGTAAGGCCTGAGGTGCGGCCCAGTAGAGAATCCGCTTGTGGGCCCAAGCCCATGTCCTGAATTTCAGCATTTTATTTTTTGTCCTAAAACGGTAAAACCCTTGGCGCGGGTTTAAGACTTTCCTCCTCCTAGCCCTCTCCTCCAGCTCCAGTCCTCCGTTGTCATTTTGATTTGGACATGGCGGTATCGATATCGAGTTTAGGTGGTGTATCTTGCAGATCTTATCTCCCTCTCCACACACCACTCTTCCGCTTCCGCATTCGCATTCGCAAGGTAATTCTGCTCTGCTGCTATGCTTTCTCTTCCCTTTCTCAATCACCTGATTCAGCCGCCTTATCTTATATAATTCAGCTTCGCCTCACTTTGATTGCGCTGGGACAGACGCTTCGTCAAACACATTCCCCGCCCAATGTCCACATCAATTATTCCTCTCTCCGAACGCCTTTTACTGGTTCTTTCCACTCGCCAACTACCTTTTCAGTTCATAACTGGCTTCTTCTTGTTTTCAGACAGGGTTACTTTCTTCTCTTTTTATTGTTTCAATTTTATTTGCTGGTGAAGAATCCGCTGATAATGATTCTAAGCTGCCCAACTGGAAGAGGTTTTCTTCCAACGAGCTTGGGATTAGTAATTTCATGATTCCCAGACCTACCAGAAAAGTTCTTAACGGGCTCAAGAAAAAAGGTAACCATACGTTCTCTCCTTCGTGTATTCATACCTCGTCTCAAAGTGTCTTCTAGTATTTCATAACTAATCCTGTGATTATTACTTCATGCTCTAGGATATGAAGTTTACCTTGTAGGAGGTTGTGTCCGGGATCTGATCTTGAACAGAACGCCGAAGGATTTTGACATAATCACTTCAGCTGAGCTTAAGGAGGTTCGTCTCAACCTATCTCTTCCATAATGTTTAATATTTCTTTCATCCCTACGGAGGAAATTTTATTTTCTGACATAAGGAAATCAAGTTGTGAGGGAACACATGTATAAATTTTCAAATCTATTTTTATTTCCTCATTGCGTTGTGATACCATTGACTGGAATGCAATGAAGCGGAATATCTATTCGATACTGAACACGTACTTTATGTTCTATAGCAGATATGAGACTGTGAATTTTATAGATCTCCACCAAAAGGCCTTAACATTTTGGAGCCTTTTTTGGGTCAAAAGCTCCATAAATATATGTTGCAAGTTTAGGTTCATCAGAGACTATTATTCAAGTTGAATTTTCTTAATAAAGAACACTGTGTATTGGCCTATTTTCTCAATTTTTGTTTACGAGTACTTTATAAATATCATTGAAAGTTTGCCACTCATTTATTAATATATAGTATTATTGCCATTTAAAGGTGTCAAGGACGTTCTCATGGTGTGAAATAGTTGGGAGGAGGTTTCCTATATGCCATGTGCACATCGATGATACCATTGTAGAGGTTTGATTATCTTCCTATCATTAGAAATATATTAACCGTATATAATTGTTTAGCAGGCTTGGTATTTATGGATATTACAACATTTAATATTTTATGATTTCATGTTGTAATGCTGATCTTCTACTTTCTTTAAAATATCAGGTGTCAAGTTTTAGCACAGCCAGTCGACCAATTGATAGACACTTGAACTGTGCTCTTGAAAAGCCTGAGAACTGTGAAGAGGAAGATTATGTCCGTTGGAAGAATTGCTTGCAACGTGACTTTACCATTAACGGGTGGTTTATGAGATCCTGCTTCTTGAGAATACAAATTCCTATTTCTATGATACAACTTCTAAAAATTTCTTAAATAGTGGGTTTTATTGGGAAATAAAAATTTAAATATTTGGGTCCCCCTCCAAACACACAGGCATACAAATAGTGGTTTTCTCCCTTCAATTCTCAACTAACGTTTGACTTGCAGGTTGATGTTTGACCCATACAACAGTATAGTGTACGACTACTTGGGAGGAATGGAGGATATAAGACGAGCTAAAGTATGCATTTATTTCGAGTTATTAACTTATTATTTATAGAATTACTTAAAATCACTCAAGTGGATATTGTAAATTTCTCTTCTACAATCTTCTCTGCGCATAGGTACAAACCGTGGTTCCTGCCCATTCTTCCTTCCAAGAGGATTGTGGTGAGTTTTCATTTGCAATATTCCATTATCATATGTTGACTAGGCCATAGAGCTGAATGTGTAGGTGAGAAACATACGTGAGTTTAAGTGAATGTCTACCCAGAAAGCAAAGCAATACCCAACTTCATCTATTTTGACAGCTCGAATACTGCGAGCAATCAGAGTTGCTGCTCGTTTAGGGTTCCACATTTCAAAGGATACTGCTCGGTCTATTAAAAAATTATCCTGCTTGGTGTCTAGACTTAAGGTTTTTTTATATTTCCATCATATTTCCTCCGTAATGTTTCCTTGACTTGTAACATTCATGAACAATTGTTCTAATTGATTATCTTTTATTAAAATACCAGGGAAGGCTTCTAATGGAGATGAACTATATGTTGTCTTATGGTTCTGCTGAGGCTTCTTTGAGATTGTTATGGAAATATGGATTACTAGAAATACTCCTACCAATTCAGGTGAATGGACACTTGACTTTTTTCCCCAGTTATGGACTACAAATAAGTGAGACAGTTTAATATTGTAGGCAGCATACTTTATCCAATGTGGATTTCGGAGGTCTGACAAGAGGTCGAATATGCTTTTGGTAATTGTCTCTTTCCTTTTTCTTACTATCAGTGACCGTTTGGTGCTCATCACAATTTACTCTTCTTACAAGATTTTCTAAACCAAGCGAAAGACCAAACTTTTTTTTTTTTTCACTTCTAAGTTGTACTAGTAGTTTGTTGGCCTCGTGATAAGTTGCATGTAACATATTTTTTGAGAAGAAGAAGATCAATATAATGTGTGCAATGTGGCTGGTTTTGGACAATGTTGTGGATGGAAAAATTAATTATGGATAGAGCATATCATGTACTGAGAAGAATGTTCGTGATAAATTCAAAGTTTCTGATATTCATAATTTCCTTCTTTTTCTTTAGTTCGCCCTCCCCACTTCCCCGAAGTCTTAAATAGCTCAAGAGTGAGTTATCTTGAATGCTTTCAGTATATTTTACCATGTCCTACGGATTTATTCTGGAGTGTAGAAAGAATAGACCCCTTGGTGATGTATGCTGCAATAAACATCAAGTAAATTGCTGCAGAATAAAGATAGGGCATTGGCTATGTCAATTTGACGATTTTCTACCTGATTATGAATCTATGACGTAAATGGTCAGTGGCAATTACTTGTTAGTAACTAACATTGTTGATAAGTATGCAGTCCCTATTTTCAAGCTTGGATAAACTTCTGGCACCTAATAGGCCCTGTCACTGTAGTTTATGGTAAGATTGTTGTTAACAAAAATCCACTGCTCTACTGTTGCTATCTATTATTATAGTCAGGATTCAGCATGGTATCAAAATGAAGTTTAGAGTACTGGTATCCTATCTATAAAATTGGAACTTACCAATTCTAGCGAAGAGTGCCTAAAATTCAGTTTGATATGTTATTGAAATCTAAACTTATACCTTTGGAATATCCTAATAGATAGCTGAACTATTTAACTAGTAATCCCCTTTGTGTTATTGGTTGAATTTCAAAGTTGAATGGAGCATGACAGAAAACAGTAATATATATGTTCTTGATTTTAGTTTTGGAAAAGCATGCATCTTCCAAAAATAAAGAAGCTACATTATATCCAATATTCTTAGATGTGGGTAATGTGTGTTGCCAATCAGATAATCGTAGTACAGCTTATGGCTTATAGCTGAAACCTCCTATTGGCATTGATACTGTAAAATGTTGGTGTAACCAGATTTAAACTTGTTAATTAGTATTCCATTTATGGGTATTGACAGTACTTGTTTCCAAACTTTGGTCTCTCTTTTGAGATTAAGCATTTATGTCACAAGCTGGCTTTTACTTGGACACGCCAAGCAAGTCTCAAATAGCATTCTCTTTCAGGGTTGCAGTATTAGCGTTCCACGCTGCCCTGTCTGACCAGCCTAGGAGTCCTTTAGTGGTTGCAGCATTTAGCCTTGCAGTGCACAATGGTGGCAATATGATAGAAGCAATCAGCATAGCTAGGAACATCAATAGAGAACATAATGTGCAGTTTCATGAATTGTTAGAACCTGACGATCTGGATGTTCAAGCATTGATTGATGAGGTTATGGATCTTACTACGTCTGTTAAAGATGCACTTCTTAAGATGACCGATGAGAATTCTGTGTCTCTGGCCCTGGAAATGTATCCTCAAGCACCAGCATCAGATCTGGTAACTTTCTGCATTTTGACCTCTCCTTTCTTTTTCAAAATCTTGAAATGTATAAGCTGCAGAAGATTTTAAGGTTGCTGCCGTTTATATATGCAATCAATTATTATTTTAGGTTCTAGAATACTGAGCTTATTGTAGTTGTTTCAAAAAAAAGAAAAAAATGTTGACCCTTTCTGCTGGAATATGAACTTTTCGATCGAGTTTATTTTGATGTGAGATTGCATTTTGAATAACAATTCTGCTTGAGGCTTGAGATAATTACCTAGCTCACGCGTGTGTGCTTAACAAGCTTCTTTGCCAACATATATTATTGCTCGTGGAATCGTATGCTAACAATTTTACATTTTGCAGGTTTTTATCCCGTTTACAGTGTACTTGAAGGTATGCAAAGTTTTTGAGTGCGTTGTGCATGGTGCGGAGAGAGGGTTTGCTCCAAAGCGAGGAAACATTAATTATGAGTCTCTGGCTCTTGGAAACCTGCTAGAACTTCGGCATGTCTTTGCAAGGATTGTGTTTGACACTATCTACCCTCTTAATCTCAATCATACCCAAGTATAAATTTTTAAGATATGACGAAAGGGCCAGGTATGGGAACATCTTAAGCTTTAACTATGTTTTTTACACTGCCAGTCTGCCAGAGGTAGGTCAGGTTCATTGGGTCATCTTTAGAATCTTCTAGAAGTTTAGGTAATTACTGAAAATCGTTCGTGCATGATCTAGAGATCGCTTTTCATCCAGAAGTTGTTGACTCAATGGGGGGTAGATTATCTAAAAGAAAAGGTTATATTCATTTATTATTTTTGATCATTTGAGCCAGTATCTAGGGAATTTGTTTACATATGCTTTGTGTCGATGTAAAATTGTTGGAGAAAGTTTACAGTAACCGATGTATTAAAGATATGAAAGCTTTTTTTTTTCTTTCCCTTTTATCTAGGTGTCATTTGCACCATTTAGGTGGGAGACCGAATCTGTCATCAAATTGCTTGAATTTACAGAGGGTTCCCAAATATCAAAATCAGAGAGGAGAATTATGCAATTGGCAACGGAATGTAGCAGTTCCTACAAAAAGTGCTTCCTTGGTGTCAAAACCCTCAATTTTACGGTCCTAACGATGATTAGAATCATTTCCAACTCTTGGAGCTACAAACATTTGCAGTTGTTGGCAATTAGTGGGGACAAATCGCGTTCACTTGTTTGCAGGAGTAACAGGGGTAGCGCCGCCAGTTGTTGGCCTACAAGATGAAACAAATCAAATTTAATAAAGTATTGAGAGGTTGAATGGAGCTGGAAACGGGCATGTACGAAGAAAGCCGTACAGTCCGACGAAAACTTTGAATGCGTCATATATTCCCCATTGAGACCCAGTAAGGGTTCCAATCATAACAATCCGAAGGGGAAGCCCACGAGTAAAAAGACCCCATAGACCTAGTTGCCTGACTGCCTGCAAAACCACAGTACAGTAGACAATAAGAAATGTGGACGCACACGTTCATCTTAATTTACATCATCAAACTTACATCTCCGGCGGTTGCTCCCTTGGCATTGTTGAGAAAAGAGACAAGATTATCAGCCGGGTGTGAGACCACAGCACAGAGGACGCCCGCCACATCCCCCGGCAAAGCTCACTCCAAGCTGCAGAGATTTGCTACACTGCTCTTTAGGCCTTGGGATGGCATACTTGTACAGCATCTCTACAATTGTCTCGAAAGATGCAAATTTCATCATGGTATCTGCAAAACCCCAACCCAGCTTTATCATCCCAAACCATTCTCTATTTAACGAGGGTCAGTTTTCACATTTGCAGAATAAGCAGTGAATTGCTAAACACGGGGAAATTGATGGAGGACCAGGACTGTTGAGGAAAGGAAAGATTGCTTGTTTAAGGGATTTTGACGTTTTTTTTTARAACTTACATGGTATCTGACGTCCCCAAAGAGGAACCAGACCTTTGTAGAGCCTGACATCCAGAGATTTTAAGTTATTAATTAGGAGGAACAAAGTGTTGAGGAGGAAGCATTCATTATTTAGTGTCGTACCCAGAAACACCCTCAGATTTTACAAACTTTGCGAACCCATCTGCCAAACCCCTAGCAAAACCAGGTTGAGTTTGGACGCGAACTTTGACGGCCTCCATGGGGCAGAGAGCAACGTCTGCAATTACTTCGGCAGATGCCGAACCAGCAAGGTATAACAAAGTTTTGTACTTGGCTGCATTCTCTGCTCCAACCTTGTCAGAATAGAACTTCTTGAAGAACTCGTAAAATCCAAACTTGCAGGCACCCTGAGCACTGTAACCAAGCAAGGTCGGCACCCACCCCCGGAAGAACCCTCTCGCTCCCTGCTCCTTGAGCAGAATTCCAAAACCCGACGAGATATTCTTGTACTTTGTGGGGTCGATCTAAAATTTGGAATAGAAATTAAAATAGTGGCCACTGGCCAGAACCAGAAGAGTATATTAAAAGAACATGTTTTCTGTATATTGGTAGAGTTAGGAGTATGAAACTAACAATTGTTTAATGGCGTGAAGATAAGATCATGAGGGAGATTGAACTTAGATATAGTAATTATTGAGGACCTGCATATTGCACTTGACGAGATCGAGGGGGGTGACAGCCATGTGGGTGAGTCCACAGCTCAAAATTCCGCCTGCTGTGCATGCTGCGTAGAAGGCCGGTGAATGCATCTTAATCTTCTCCTTTGGAGCTGGAATTGGGAAGCTCTTGCCATAACTGGATCGCGTCGATTCCGTACTACGCAGTGTACGGGAAGATGAGTATAGAAAGCTCGGGATGAGAGATTGCTGGACATCTTTGGAGAGAGCCATTGGTGCGTTGCCTCTTAGTAATTGGTAATTGGTGTCCTCCTGACACTAATCTCTTTAAGGAAGAGAATATGGATTTGACTATAAAAAGGGCGGGGGAATTGGAATATATGTGGTGATAATTATTGGCAGATAAAAATTTTATAATATCGATTGCACTGGAAAATGTTTGAGAATTATATTGTCAGAACACACCAACAAAAACGGTTGAGAATTTCTCGGGGCTTTCCCTGTTTATAAGCATTGGCTAGGGTAAGTCATGCAGAGACACCCACAAACGCAAACACACGTTGCTTTAAACTTTCTTTTTGTGCATGTGCCAATGCCAAGGCTGGGAGACCTAGAATAGATGTCACTCACCATACAAGTTGGTAGAATTACTATTTTTTATTTGCATATAGTGCAAATTTGAAAAAAAAAACGTGGGTATTTATTTGCATTCTATTTTTAGTTGAACTTCGTTAAAAGAAAAAAGAAGAGCGATATTTAAAAAATGGGCCCACGAGATGGGTGTGTCAAAATTCGGCCAGTGAGAAGTGAGAAGTAGATAGGAATCGATGAAATTGATGAAGGAGAGGCAATGGGCACCACTCGTTCATCCCTCAGTTCTCACTCACCTCAGCTACATATCCAATCCATTCCCTCTCCTTCCAACTCCTTCACCTTATACAGTTTCGCCTTTTCCATATAACTAAACTCTCTTTCTTCTTATAATTACAATGGCTTCCTTTTCAGCTTCTTGCCTGAGATTCCAGCTACCTCTAATCCCGCCCACCAAGATCAACATCAACCAGGTATTCTCTGAACCAGCCTATAATTAAAATATGATTTTTGCCAAAGTTAAAATGTTGTGGAATGCATTTGTATATGGTGGCAGGTTGTGAGAAGAATTTCAAGTGTGAAATTTGGATGGAGAAAGAATGGTTTGCATGTTCTGAGAACATCCCAGCTCCGTATCTCTTGTGCGGTAATTATTTAATAATTAGTTTGACATTGTGGTGTCCATTGGCAAAGCAAGTATTAAAAAGTGGAATTAATGCAGGCAAAACCAGAGACAGTTGATAAAGTGTGTTCAGTTGTGAGGAAACAATTGGCCTTGCCTGCCGAATCAGAGCTCACCCCTGAATCCAAGTTCTTAGCTCTGGGTGCCGACTCCCTCGACCTTGTATGTAATCCATCTCCACCTTTACGGCCACGGCCTTACCCTTTTCTATGCTCACACCAATCAACTGACAGGTGGAGATAATTATGGCCTTAGAGGAAGAATTTGACATCAATATCGAGGAGGATAACGCTCAGAACATAACCACCGTTCAAGAAGCTGCAGATTTGATCGAGGACCTCGTTGTTAACCCCAATCTTAACCCCACGGTTGAGTAGTTTCCTCAAAAAACGATTTTTTCAACCAAACCAACATTCTACTTGAGGAAGTCAAAAACCAAATTGGACCTGTTCTAAGAGATGCAAGTAATTCATTTCAGCTTTGTTAGAACTTGAAGAGAACTCAATGTGAAGTTTGTCGTGTTGTATTGTTTAATTTTGTGCCTCTCGAGACGAGGGGCGGCTCGACCAGTCAATTTCATGGATTGTGGGGGTGTGGTGGAGACCGGAGTTGACGCTACTGCCCTACTAACCAAAGCTTTTCAAAGCATAGAGTCTCTTTTAAGATAAAGCTCTCTACCTTTTTGCCTCGGAAAGAGAGAAGGCAAGGCGGAAACAAAGTGATTGTAGTTGTAGATATGAAAATCCAATTTCTAAAACTCAAATGATAAAAAAATGCATTATTGAGTGTGTTGGGGCCGGGGGTTAAGCGCATGGTATGGAAAATGATATTGGTACCTGTGTGTCGCTTTGTATTTTGGTGGTTGGTGTTATTTGTAGAGCGCCACAATTTAAGCAAATCAGAGGAACCCCACTGGCACCTTTTCCAGAGTGGTCCAAAGGCCTACACTACACTACACTACACACTGTAAAGTCTCCATCTATAGCTATACAACAAATGAGAAAATGGTTTCGTTTGGATCCGCTGCTTCTTGGTAGCTCACCTACTACACTAAAGCTACCAGTAGGCATGATATGAATTATGAAATATGAAGTGAGGGAGAGGCCCCATTACCATTATCATAAATTGGGGGGTTGGTTCAAGCATGTGGATCTTGATGATAACCAATAATTAGATTAAGGCATTCTTTCCCGCACCCTCACTTCCCTTCCAGATTATCTTATTTGAACCTGAAGGAGCATTTGAAAGTCGGGATACAACCTATTATTTGGCTGTAGAGCAGTGCAGTTATAGGCGAAGTACAAGTCGAACAAGAAAACCCAATTGTCTCCTCGAAAAACTAAAAAGAACCCCTGAAAATCCTGTCAAGATTCTTCAAAATCCCCCAAGAGTCTGTCAGATAATCATACCATACTTGAAATCTAATAGAAATTTGTGTTACAAATAACTGTACAACTGATTTCTGAGAGTGGAAAGTAGTTTGTGTAAAGCCACTTTACAATGTACGCCTCACGAGAGACACTTTTTTGTTGTTGTTAGAGAACAGAAGATAGGGAAACATCATAACAGCACTTTCAGGGCTCTGAATTCTGATAAAGCAGCCTTATATTCCATTTGTTTCTTCATTTTCGAAAAACCAATCTTTTATGTTTTGGATGTGTCCTACCAAATAATGCTATTGGATATGAACAGAAATCGCAAAATTGATTAGTTTTATTCTGTATCAGGCCTGCCAAGTAATAAGGCTCAAGTATGATGGCGGTTTAAATATTAGATCGCCTGCTTATTTAGTACCCCACGCCGACCCCCCATCCACCGAGCAGCATTTTAAACAGCACTTTCTCTAGGTCCTTTTGTCTTAGTTGTCTCTCACCGTCTAAACCATGTTTTCTTCAACATGGAAGGCCGCGACAATGGCTGCTCTTATTCTTCATCTTTGCATTTGCAAGGAGGTTGGCTCCTCTTTTGCACATTCTGACAAGATCACTAGCCTTCCTGGACAGCCGCGTGTGGGGTTTCACCAGTTTTCAGGTTACATTCATGTAGATGACCAAAAGCAGAGAGCACTGTTTTACTACTTGGTTGAAGCAGAAACTGACCCTGATTCCAAGCCTTTGGTTCTCTGGCTTAATGGAGGTGTGTTGACTCCTTACCTTCTTACCTTCTTTAATTCCAAGTCCTTCAAACTTGCTTGACTGGTTAGGGAGGACATTTTTCTGATTTCTTGCAGGCCCTGGTTGTTCTTCCCTTGGAGTTGGGGCGTTCTCAGAAAATGGACCTTTTAGGCCGAACGGGGAGGTTTTGGTGAAAAATGAATACAGTTGGAACCGAGGTATCTACTTCTATATCAACTACACCAGTTTCTCCATATTTGCTGGATATTATATAGCTGCTGATCAGTAAAAGCAAGTTCAAATTTGATCATTTCAGAAGCAAACATGTTGTACTTAGAGACACCCGCAGGAGTTGGGTTCTCTTATGCTGATAATAGCGCCTCTCATGCGACAATGGATGACGAGGCCACAGGTATTTTTGCATCCCTTCTGCCTTCTGTTCAAGGGTAGCGCAACCCCTTCTCTCTCTCTCTCTTCAGAAGATGATTATTGATTTGGCAAAGAAATTACTGAGAAATTTACTTATGTTTTAGTCAGTATTTTTGTCAATGCTAAAAAAGAACACAAATCATGCTGTATGCTTGTGTCTTTTATTCATGCTTCAAACCTACGTTTTTTCATGTTGCTATCTTCAGCAAGAGACAATCTCATATTCTTGCAAAGGTGGTTCAGTAAATTCCCTCATTACAAACATAGAGATCTATTTCTAACAGGAGAGAGTTACGCAGGTACCCAGATAAAAGACATTTCTCCCTTTTTTCTCTCTCTCTCCTCCTTCTCCCTCTCTCTCTTGCAATGGGAACCCCCCAAAGAAAAGAGAAAAACCAAATCTTTTTCCTTATTATACCAGGCCATTACATTCCTCAGCTGGCGAGGCTTATGACCGAGTTGAACAGGAAGGAAAAGTTATTCAATCTGCAGGGAATTGCTGTAAGTTTTGTTTTTATGTGGCGTGGAAGAGAAAAGAAAGGGAAAAATGAAAGTGTTTGATGTGCAGCTAGGGAATCCGGTTATGGAATATGCGACAGACTTGAATTCAAGGGCGGAGTTCTTTTGGTCGCATGGTCTGATATCAGACTCCACTTACAGATTGTTCACATGTGCTTGTAACTATTCCCGGTATGTTAGCGAGTACTACAGAGACTCAATCTCAGGGGTTTGTCTGCGGGTGATGACCCAAGTCAACACAGAAACCAGTAAGTTCGTGGACAAATATGACGTTACTCTCGATGTCTGCATTCCTTCAGTGCTCTCACAGTCCAAGTACTTAAGCCCACAGCCGCAGCATGTCCGAGAAAGGATAGATGTTTGCATCGAAGATGAAACTGTTAAATATCTGAACCGAGAGGATGTGAAAAAGGCCCTTCATGCCCGTCTCGTCGGAGTCCACAAGTGGGCTGTTTGCAGCGAGTAATTCCACTCTGCTTTGATTTTCATTTCTGAATTCTGAGTCTGACTATTGACTATTGACTATTGACTATTGACTATTACTGCTTGTCAATGACATTACACCAGAGCTCTGGACTATGAGCTACTCAACCTGGAAATACCAACCATCTCCATTGTTGGGTCACTTGTCAGAACCGGCATACGAGTCTTGATTTACAGGTGGGTTAGGGTTACAATTTGACGAGCGTTACCAAACCGTACATATACATTAAAATTAAAGGGACCTTAATTCTTTGGTTTCAGTGGAGATCAAGATTCGGTAATTCCATTGATGGGAAGTCGGCGGCTGGTTCACAGGTTGGCAACAGAGCTGGGTCTGAACACGAGTGTTCCATACGGAGCTTGGTTCCATGGAAAGCAGGTAAGCCGTATTTGTCCCGAGTCCCGAGTCCTGATTTGGTTGGAGATTGTGAATTAAGCATTTCCCCCTGGGCCTGTGTCTCACTTCTCAGGTTGGAGGTTGGAGCCAAGTTTATGGTAATGGTAATATCCTTTCATTTGCCACCATTCGAGGTGCCTCTCACGAAGCTCCATTCTCTCAACCCCAAAGGTCACTTATACTGTTCAAGTCATTTCTGGATAACACGCCTCCACCTCGAGTTACGTGATCCTGATCCATGTTTCAGATTTATTGTACAAATCACAATAAAAAACAACCACCAATTTTCAGTTCCAAATCACACAAGATCCTAATCTCACTTCACTAACCATCCTTAGAAGCACATTTCCTGGTGGTGCACCTCATTCATCAAATTAACTACCGAATCAAACCCCATTCAACACAAATTAACATGTTCAAGTCTCAAGAAACAATTTAATATAAAAATAATCTTGCATGCCTCAACGTTATAGCAATATGCCAGGTTTTTGAATTGGGGGGTGGAAAAAATACATATAGAATGTAAATCAATATAACATAATAGTGAGAAGCACTGAGCCACCCACTGGCCACTGGATCTAATACACGCTATTCAGGTACAAGTATAAACCTACAAGTGCCACGATTCCAACTGCAGCAGCAATAGGCAGCACATTCCTATACCGTTTTACCAGATATCAATCAGACTCGATAAATAATCATTAAAAACTGTGATAATATATAAAGTCCATTTTCCGTCTTACCCAACAGCTTCATCTCTCTGAATCTGCGCCTTCCTCGCCTTCCTCACATCGAGTTCGTTAACATTTTTTGTCACGGATTGCTCATAAGGTCTAAATCGTCGCTTAGGAGCACCACAGACTGCAAGGCATGATCATTTACATTATAATTGAATAGGTTTCCAATTTCTTTGGAACACAAAGTAAATGATACGAAGTTGGTTCTTTCTCTACTTTTTTCTTGGGAGATATCTAGCAGGAAGTTATGCTGTTGAACAAAAACATGAATAGGGAAGGGAATTGTTGACATTGATTCTAACTCGAGACTCAAAGATTAGATAAAATGAAAAATTTGGAAAGAAGATGGCATGAATTATGAATGCAAACAAGATATAGGGAAGGAGATTACCAGGACAGAAATACTTATCAGGCAATTTGTCAAAAGGAGTTCGATCATTGTAAATGTACCTAATTAGAAAAAGAAAAAGAAAAAGAAAAAAGATAGGTTCATTTCATTATAGCGATGGAGATGGAAAGTGGGGGAGAGATAGAAAGTGATACCCGCAATCACGACAGATATAGGCTTGCTTGGAGGCGACGCGCATGGAGATGGAGAACTTGGGTGCAGCTGCAATTTTACCAGATTTTTGGCTCCCTAAAGGAGGAATCTTGGAGTTGGAGGGAGTGCGTAAAGGAGAGAAGAAGGACGATTTCAGATACAAGCGGTTGGAGTTGGAGTGCCGATCAGCGCCGCCGTCTTCCTTAAAGAAATTAATATCAAAAAGATGATTTGGATAAAAACAAAACAAAATAAATTAATATTAAAAAGATGGTGTTCGCTAGTTGAGACTGCAGTCACCGTGACATTGGAGGGAGTGTAAATTAAGGTTAGAACTTAGAAGGAGCGGAGCAGAGGAAAAACCTTAGAATGTGGCAGCTGGAAGCTCCTGAGAGAAGTAGCTGAAACAGAAGCCATTGGTGGGTGGAGGGTGGAGCTAAGACAGAAAAGAAAGTGAAGAAGAGAATCAATCAGAGAAGAGAAGAGAAGAGAAGGAAGGGGAGATAGAGATTGGGGCTTCGGCCAGAAAACGAGAGACATGGGCGAATAGTGAATACAGACTACGAGTGGCGGACAATCAATCAATTTTATCGGATCCTATCTACACACCCAACACCCTCGAACCAAAATACTCACTCCTCATTCACCCTTTTTTATGCCTACACTGTTCAATCTTTAACAATTCCTTTTTTTCTAAATAATTTTTTATTTTAAAATATTCTTATTTTATTTTATTTTATTATTTGGAAGTTACATCCCATGTGTCCCTTAGTATTTTTAAGAGAAGAAATGCTGTCTAAAAAGTAAATAAATAAATTTTTTTAAGAAGACTAGGGCAAAATTAAATTCTCTTGACAATAGAGAAAGATTCTAACGCAAAATTAAGTCCAAAAAGAAAATGTGGTATTGAAACATTTATGAAATATCAAGAGTAGTATTGAAACTCGATAATAGTATTTTTAAGACAAAAGGCAAAACCCTATCCTTAAAAATGACAACCTACAATCTCGTTGATCACTATCCACCAAATCCAGTTGAGGTGCTAGGAAGTCATTTTAGTGAAATTATCTTTTCACTATTTCCATTTTTAATTGTAGTTTGAATTTTAAAGGCTATTGTTAATAAAATCAATTACCTTAGACAATAGAAAAAAAATTGCTTCTTATCAACAATATCCAAGTTACAGCTAAAATGATAGAAAGTATAAAAATAATAACATTATTATATTTTTAAAATATGGTCTATCTTATCGAAATTTGAAATGCGCCCAAAAAAAAAAGAAGCTGAAGTATAAAGAATCAGTTGTAACAAATAGCTGCCAACATGAGTAAGGTCAAATAGTCACATTATTTACTTTCCTAAAAATCCCTCGCCTCGTTGAACTCATAGAAAAAAGATCTACAAATAAAATACAAGTATATTGTTGAGCAGTCAAGCTACATTTCATAAAAACAAAAAACAAAAAGACAATCCACCTAGTATAAGTTGATTCGGTTTGATTTGTTATCTTTCATTAAGATACCATAGAGGCAAACATGCATCAGAGATGGCACAAGATTTTACACTTTTTCAACCAAATGCAATAAGATAGAAATGCATAAAGTTTTGATAATTAATATGTTATGAGAAGTGTACATCTTCTTCGGACTCGTTTACAATACCCAGCTGCAACACCTAGATGGTTGTATCCTGCTCCTGCATTAATAATAGGTGAGCACGTTTTAAGAGAGAAAAAAAAACAAATAAAAGGCCACAAAATAACTCATGTTTAGCATGTTCCTTGAGGAAAGGAAGTTAAACTGGTGCCAATAATAATAAGATTTGGCAACCAGATAATCTATTAAAGTCACAACAAAGAGACCAGAAAATGTGTTGAAGATGCAACAAAAGATGAAAATAGATTAATGACCCTGCGAGGTTATCACCTCTGAAACCAAGATACAAATAAAGAACCAGCAATATCCATGCTTTTCCACCACCAGATTGCAATCCAGACACATTTTATTACCTACTCTCTCTATCCTGATTGATCGCTGCTGCATGCCGGATTATCCTCTACATAAAGTATCAACAATATTTCAATTAGGTAATACCTAGTAGACTTACATGATCCAGATCACATGAGATCAAACATAGAAACAAGCAAACTTACGAAATGTGTTACTAAATACTAACCAACCATCATTCAAACCACATTCCTGGAGTTGAACGATAAACAATTTTGCATGACCAAACAGGCGTTCAGGTGAGTTTGACATTGTTTCCAAATTTAGGAGGCACTTGAGAGCAGTCATTTGGAAGTGGAACCATGTCTAACACTTTCTTCAGCCCGAGCAAGTGCATCTGTCAGCACATCAATTGTCCAGTCCTTCAAATCCTCCTGCATCAAACAATTGACAAAGCAAATGCTTTTTAAAAAATTATCACCCCATCGTAAATCTGCCTCAAATCATTAGGTAGGAATGTTTCGTCCTACATATCTTCATATCATAACAAATCATTAAGAAATAATAATGGAAACTGCAATGTTTAAAAACGCAACCACATAACTGGTCGAAACTGGGAAGTTTCATGAAGTAGATCAAACAAATCAGTAATAAGCATGGGAGTAGGGAAACACATTTTCATCATCAAGGGGTTGGGATAAGAGTTGAGAAATCCGGAGGCTTCCATATCCATTTGCATACGAGGCCAGCGATACAATTGCCTTACCATGTGTAAAGGTTCTCCAGTTCTAATTCTTGCATTTGGACGAGCAAGCTTGGATTCAAAAGGAGTCCTTGGTCGAACATCTCGAATTTCCTCCCACTCCTCACGACTGAGCATCCTCACAGTTCCTTGACCTGGGGGGGCATTTTTTATTTTGCGCTCTATCAACTCTTCAGATCTTGACTCATCATACTGAAAACAAACATAATTCCATAAGATTCGCTTGATATAAACCCAACCGAAGTGGTGGGTGAAATTATACTCTCAAGAGTCTACCTCCACCACATGCTAAAATGAGATCATGATTTCATCAAARGGGCTTTGCAGTTTTCCCAAAAATGGTAAAACATTGATTGAACGAGAAAGGATATTGCCTACAAAATTCTAACAAGAGCAAGCGCAAGCCAGTAGCATTCAAACCAAAAGGAAAGCAAAAAGACCACATCCACAAAAACGTTCTTTCAATTGGTTTTTTATTTTGAGATTCTCAATTTTCCTTTAGCGATACATGTATTTGCTAGCAGGCAGACAAAAGATTCTAGTTTTTTACACTTGCACCTCATATCAGGGACTTCTCTAGAACAAAATGACGAAAGAAAACTTCTCATCACAGTAAAATCTCAATTTCATGCTCCTAGACTTAGACAAGACACTCGAAGCGCACATTGGACAACGGGAGCAATTGTAGGATCAACTTGAAGTTCAACTAATTTCACATAATGTACCAAACTCAGTCCACACACCTTGATTATTGTGTATACTAACACTCCTAAACGATTCCAAATGGTTGGAGAATCTCGACAAAAAATATATATAAATATATCACCAAGATTTGGATAGATGTCCTAAGCGACCATCACACAAATGTCTCATGATATTTCATTCTACTCAATAAAATAATCAACTTTACGAAATGGAGAGGGGAAAAAAAGGAGAACCAAGGTGAGGTGGAGAAGGGCATACCATCATTAGGAGTTTAGCAAAGAGAGCAACTCCAACGGCAGTGAGAATCATGGGCATAGAAGCAGTGTCAAGGAATGATTTTGATTCAGGAACATCCACAATGAACTGATCCTTCTTCGGATTTTTCCTCCCCTTCCTACGTCTCTCCAACTCTGCGATCTGTCCCTTTAGAATCTCTGATGGACATTCACGTTGATGAGGGAGATGCATCTGTCTCCGAAGTACACGCAATCCATGGCCAAATCCAGTCATGGCTATCCAAATCGCTTTAATTCAGAAAAATAGGGTTTCGCAAGTAGAGCTGACAGTTGAAGTTTGTGAAATGGTTGAGAACGATCCGCTTCCCTTGTAAGTTAATAAGCCAACTTTAAAGGGGCTACTAGATTTTTGGGAGCAATTTTAGGAGGTTAAAAGACCTTATTGTCCTCTAAGAAAAACCCTAACTTTCCCCAAATTTCCCACCCGCCCCCTCACTCTTCTCCTATCGCGTTTCTCTATCACTGGCAAATTTTTCTTCTGCGATATACAGAATCCACAAGTTACAGATAGTAACTACAAATTTCATTAATTTTCTGAAAGATTAGTAATAGGAATCAAGAAACCAAAAATAAATATTTCTTTCCAAAATAGGTATGTTGTTCAAAGAATGTCTTAAAAAGTGAAGTGCAAAACAAGACCAGAAAATGCATTTGTTTCTTGAAAGATTAGAAATGAGAACATTAGCTAACGATCAGCTTGAATTAATAAGGAATGTTTATGAGAATTGGCTGTGAACCCTGATTCCCTCAAGTAAATTGTAGCCCAATCTGTACAATGATCCTCCCCAATCCCCATCCTATATATAAATAAGGAATATATGTTAATGATAGGGGAAAATGCTTTTCCTCCTTTTGTTCATTACTTTCCTGTGAAGATAAATGATCCCAAATACAAACTTCTTTAGCCCTCAAAATTTGTTGGGTGTGAGTAGAACCTAAACTAGTTGTATGTAAAAGCCTGATTAATATAAAGGTCATACAAAGTTTCATTTTCCTTGTTGTTTGCCTTTTCCTTACCTCTGTAGAAGTATTCTACCTCTGTAATTAATTCAAACCTTGTATCTTTTCAAAATCATAACTTTTGTCTTAGAGAGAACTTCGTTTTTCTTATTAAAGAAAAGAGAGAGCGAGGAGAGTCAAAAGGTACTGGCCAATCAGCTTGGTTAACAGGGTAATATAATCTCCAAATGGTGCCTTGTGATTTTAACACTCTGGCTATTGTTACAGCAGAAAAATATATCAGCAGTCTGTCTACTTGTTTGGTATGTCCCTACAACCTACCTTTAAGCTTACCTTAGCTTGCTCTGGTCTATGTTATTAATCACCATTCGGTTTCTATAAAGCACACAATATAAAATTCTAAATGGATAAGAATTGAAATTGTTGTAATTGCATGTATGTTTGATGGTTGTTTTGAAGGGACATTAACGTTAAAGATCTATTGGGGGGAAACATCAGCAGTATCTTTGAAGAAGCTTGTGATTTTATTGATGATGTTGAAAGTAAAGGTGGAAAGGTCCTGGTTCATTGGTTTGAAGGGACGAGCAGAAGTGTCACATTAGTTCTTGCTTACCTGATGCTCAGAAAGTAAGTTAAAACTGCAACTTTTATCACTAAATGGGTCAAACTTTGTTTATGACTGCCTAATGATGGGCTGGCTAAAATATTACTAGAATTAGATGGAAGAATGCATGGAAAAGTTTCCATTGAGTGGCAGTGGAAACCAACGATGAAATTTTTTCCAAATTGTGGGGAAAATGCGGGTCTGAGTAGTTGGGAGCATAGACGGTGCAATGACGATGAAAGCATTAATAGCTCTGAGAATTGTTTTGGATTCTATTGCATGAGTTCAGCACAATTCTTGTCCCCAGAGAAAGCCATAGAAATATCTGATCCTTTTCTTACGGATTTCACATCTATGTATCAAAATAGTCGTCTGGGGGGAAAGGTTGTTCTGTTTTTAGCTACTACTTACTAGTATCATGATTTGCACATTACATACGTATCACCTTTTCTATTCAAACAAATACGTCTTTTTTGTAACTTGGGTATATATATATAAAAGTTTTAATAAGTCGTTATTTCTTTTACGTGGTATGTAGGGTAGCTTTCTCCACTCCATGTTATTAGTATTTTATATAATGATTTTTAATATGTCATTAATTTGTTTTCAATAAAGGTCATTATTGTTTATTTATGACTTTCTAAAGACATTTATATAACAATAAAAGAATAGAAAAAGTAAAGATGAAAATTCACTACATAATTGAAAAAATTTAACTCCAATCTAGAAAAAGGTAAGAAAATAAAAAGTGGATATATTTACAAAATTGAGAAAGATGAAAAGTTTTTAAGTATTTAAAAGATGGAAGAAGGTAGTTAGAAAGTTGTATTTAACAAACACAACACAAGTGGGGAGAAGAGTAGTAGTAAATAAATGAACTATACTTCCTAGTGGGATCCAGATGAGTTAGAAACAGCTATAGACTACAAGGCAAAGGAAAAGGCAAAGGCATTAGATAAGAAGATAAGATGTATAGAGAGCTAGACGGGGATGGCATCTGGCAAGGCCTCGGGAGCACCACTGCTGCCGTTGAGCACCGTGACGTTTCCCTCTGAATCAACGTCAACTATTACCGAGTCGCCCTCCTTGATCTCCCTTGCCAGCATCTTCTCAGCCATGCTGTCCTCCAGAAGTCTCATGATCGCCCTTCTCAGTGGTCTCGCACCGTAGCTTGGGTTATATCCTTCCTCAACCACCCTATCTCTAAATCTCTCCGTCACTTGAAGTTCTATTTCTTTTGCTTTTAACCTATCAAATACCTCCTTCAACATTATATCCGCTATCTCCTTCACCTCTTGTTTTGTCAGCTGACGGAACACGATCATCTCGTCCAACCTATTCAAGAACTCTGGCCTAAAGTATTGTTTCAGTTCCTCCGTCACCAAGCTCTTAATACGGTTGTAACTACTGTCTTTCTCGTCGTAATCAAGGTCAAACCCTATTCTGCGACCTCCCTTCTCTATTACACTGCTTCCCACGTTTGATGTCATTATCAAAAGTGTATTCTTGAAGTCCACAGTCCTGCCCTTGCTATCGGTTAACCTTCCATCCTCTAATATTTGAAGCATCATGTTGAACACGTCTGGATGAGCCTTTTCAATCTCATCAAATAGCACCACTGTGTATGGACGACGACGAACGGCCTCRGTTAATTGACCGCCCTCTGTGTAACCAACATAACCAGGGGGCGAACCAATCAGTTTCGAGACTGTATGCCTTTCCATAAATTCACTCATGTCAAGACGAATCATCGCTTCTTCAGAGCCAAAATAGTAAGCAGCCAATGCTTTTGCCAACTCAGATTTACCAACCCCGGTTGGACCAGAAAATATAAAGCTTGCAATTGGACGATTGGGATTCTTTAGTCCAACGCGAGCTCGCCGTATGGCACGACTAATGGCTTTAACTGCTTCATCTTGACCAATGACCCTCTTATGGAGGGTCTCTTCCATTTTGAGGAGGCGGTCAGATTCATCGGTAGATACTTTTTCGACAGGAATGCCAGTCCAGGAGGAGACAATATGCTGAATATCAACTTCAGTCACAACAGGACCTACATCTCCTGCCTCGCTTTCTGCCTTGCTCATCTCCTTGCCCTTATCTACTAAAGCAGAGATCTTGGTCTTAAGTTCCATTTCTCTATCACGCAATTCTCCAGCCTGTTTAAAAATTCACCTAAGTTTCATCTTCTAGGGTAGAATCGACTATTGTAATGAAATGGCAAGACTAAAAGTTTACATATTGCTCCCACTTGATCATTCATTAGCAAGTTCAAAAAAAGAAAAACCAGCATCATGAAATTCCAGAAAACTAAACCATAAAATGCTACAAAGCCACGGGAAAAAAATTAAAGAGAACGAACTTACCTTCTCAAAGTCCTGACTTCGAACAGCCTCATTCTTCTCCTTTGTGATCTGCCTGAGCTCTTTCTCAAGCTCCCTAGCTTCCTCAGGTAGCTGCAAATAATATTAAAAATTTAGCATAATCATGTATAAAACTGGGTGCATGGAGGGAGAAGTTGCAACGATGATGAGAACATACCTGAGCATGACGAAGGCGAACCCGAGAACCTGCTTCATCAACCAAGTCGATTGCCTTATCAGGTAAGAATCGATCACTGAAATTTACAGTTATTCGTCAAAACACACCTTTCACAAACTGATTAGGAAAAGCAACTAGGATCTTAACAAATTATACCAGAGCATAGAGATGACAAGGCAACCTATCAACTACACAAGTCAATATTATCATAATTCATAGACAAGTCGAGGCAATAATTTCATACACATTCATCAGTGCTAACCTGATCTACTTAGATATGTAGACTTCAATGTCGTGAATGTGATATCTTTATCCAACCAAAATATAACTTAACTCAATACTTGGGAGGTAGAGCAAGCGGACATCAAACATAACAGAGCCTTTTTCTTCAACTAGCTAAATATTTTCCTTCAAGGCATTATATTTTAAAGGGTGAGAGGTACTAGGATACAATAGTTCTCAGGAGCTGAGTCACAGGGTGAAAAAGGTGAGCTTTAACGAGGTGAGGTGCATAATACAATAATAAAAGAAAGTTTGGAAATAAAGAAAACCATAACATTTTACCCTGATGAAATTAAAATTGACCGATTATTTGGATTTGGACCAAGACTGGTGCATGAAATCTAAATGTTTTTTTTTAATGTCCTTAGTTTTTAACTTTTAAGTCTTATATGGATTTTAAGAGGGAAAAAAAGTACTGCAGCAGGTGCCTTAGCACCATACTGAAATCATCAGGCACACCTCACTTTGAAAATAAAATTTCAAGGTCATATGATACTTCGGTCAAGCTCCCCAAAACACTAAAGCAGATGAACAATATATATGAGGAGTAGTTGCATACAGACCCAATACATTCTAATCTCAGACATAAACTGCACAGGGAAAATGAAAAAGGAACTGTAAAACTGTACACCACAGTTCCAGAATAGATACTCTGCATAAAAAAATGTACTCCACCCCATCAATTAAGTCGTTGATCAAGGAGATAGAATATATGGCAGACACAATAACAAGCCATTTTCATCTTCATACTTTATGAACACGGTCAGATTTTTGCAACAGATATTTTCCCAGATGAATCACTCAGTAATAACCAATAACATACCTGATGTACTGGTATGACAGCTGAGCAGCAGCTACTAATGCTTCATCTGTGTAACGAAGCTTGTGGTGGATTTCATAACGCTCTCTAAGCCCTTGCAAAATCTGTATGGT